GGACATCTTGGAAGAGGCGAAGCGTGAGTTCAAATTTGCTGCGAATGGCACAGGAAAGCTTAGGTTGGTGACGATAGTTTTGTACAACGTACTCAGTCAATTTTTGATGTTATTTTGCAGGCTTGTATACGTTGGGCAAAGCAGCCAGAGCATGCGGGCGTACATGATTTTCAAGGAGGAAACATCGGTAATGGAAGTCTTCCAGAAAACTATGACGCCGTCCATGTATATGGTAAGTTGTTTCCTTGTCATTCTTCATTTATAGCTGGGATTTCTCTTTGCAATAGCAGTCATTTCTCGTATTTCACAATTGCACTTTAGGGCCGCGTTGAAGAGGTCCCGCAGGATCAGCTGGTAGTCAAGAGTAACGAGTATCTGGTGCCTATAGCTCACTTTGATAAGGATCCAGGGCGAATGTTTGGAGTGCCATTCTTCTTGAAGGTAGATTTCCGTAGTGTTTTTAACTTCTCTTATGGATACCACATCTATCGTGTATATACCAGGTATCAAACGATGAGCTATTGTCGAGCGTTCGCGAGCGTATCCAAGCTAGACTGGACATACCGGATAAGGAGTATGAGAAGTATAAATTTGCGCTCATCTCGTCTTCAAGAGTTGTGAGGTATCTGGATATGACATCAACAGGAAGGGTAAATCTTGCCGAACTTGGACATACTCATGTTGCATGTGAGTTACCATCTTGCATTTTCGCGGTGTTTGTCTTCCGCTCAGCTTAACCCCATTTGTTAAGCATTGGCTACATCGCCGTATCTTGGCCTTGATCACATGAACAAATCTCGTGGAGCTCGTGGGTCACACGCTGCAGAGAAAGCTATAGTAATACATAACTAATGCTAGGATGGGTCTATACTGTGTATAGGTAGAGAAGATTTGTGCGTTCGACTGCGACGGCATTAGGGCATCAAGCATGTTAGCAATCTTACGGAGCAAGTTACGGTTCATCTTATGCTCTAAGACGTGTTCATATCTATATGTCTATTAGATTCTTCTCACTCATCCCATTTCACAAAGATACTTCTCACAAGAACGGTGTTTGTTGTTTTGGATTCTTAGTGTTCTATTTTCATCACCCGACTCCCACTTAGTTCTGATCTGGTGTTGTATAGTCATTTCGAAATTTCGGTGGCCCTCGATTACCAGAGTGATACTATCGGGTTGAGAATGTCACCGCTTTCCGATGAAACCCTTTCGCACTTGTAAAAAAAGTTCAACCTCGTCTCTTCTCAGCGTCCAAATTTTTACATCTTCGTACTCATTTTGAACGCCATCATCGGTGAAACATCTTGTACTACAATAGGTTGGTTTTCTTCATTTGTACTAATGCTTTTGAGAACACTGGATTTGAGTGGTTCGGCTTGGTTTCGTAGTAGTGGTCGTGTCTTACAGTAAGTTTTGTAATGAATCGCGAACCTTGGATAGTCTAATATAGTTGCTAGCTTTTATGTTGTAATATGTACTGTCCTTCATACGTTCTATAATTTCATCTTCAATCTAGTGTTCAGTAACGAGGTGGCCTCACTTGACTGCTTTTCAATTTGCAACGCGAGCTTTGATTGTGAATTACTTGTTCCTCTCTTGACATTAGTATATGAATTTGCCATTTGCGCTATTGTTGATATATTGTCTTTATGTCTCTGTTTGTGATTGGAATGGAGTTTGGTACTTTGTTCGCGAAGGCATTATAAAAAGAATGAGAAAAGAATGCCACACCACATAGTTCATGTAGATGAAGAAGTGACGTGACAGCTAAAGCTGACGACGAAGAAATAGAATTTTGTGAATTTAGCAGTATGCCCTGATTTAGTGTACATGGAATTCCGTTTCTGAAGTAGTAAGCTCAGAAGACTGAGTTTATGTAGTAGTCGATTGCTTAATATTTACAAGTTCTTAGATAGATGGGTATATTGCATGTACAAACTATATTACTCTTTGATTCAACGAGAGTGGCGGCTGAAAGGCGGCCTAATAAGACTAGGGAATGACTAGAGAGCGCGCTCGCGAGAGACGCAAACTGCGACACGGGTGCGAGCGGTCGCCCTCCATCCGCCAATCCCTTGTATCAAAGGGTACTCAGGGTACTCACAAGGCTAATCATATACTTGCGGCAACGAGAAGCTGAAGATGAGGAGAACCGGGTGAGGAGAATGAGATCTCAAACTGAGGTGCACCAAGCGGTACTTATGCATTCTCCCCTACTTTTCTATGTTCAAGGTAAGATAACGGGAAAATCGAAACACTGCCAGAAAGTTGAACGAGAAGCCTAGCGATATAACAGTAAAAGCTTTGTGATAGGCGGGACACGTGATCTGGGACTATGTTGAAATATTGTGAAAATAAACCTGCCTTAACCGTACCGTAGCTTAGAAAGTATACAAAAAGCGCTTGGTGTAGG